GAAAGAGACACTAAAAAAACCTTTGAAATCAATTGTAATCACAAAAGGTCATAGCTAGTATCCTGCTACTTAAATGTCTGGAGCTTGGCCAAAGTACTTACATGTTGGATAATTTCTCTACAGAGTTAAAAATTAGGGTAAGAGGAAAAAATGTGCTCACTTCATTCTCTATTTCTATAGGTGCATTTTTTTTCTTATGCAAGAGTCTCCGTTAGGTGCAAAATTTAATGTTCAATTTCCAGAAAATCTAATTAGACAAATTCTGGCAACTCTGCAATTTCTGTAAAATATCTGTTCTGCAAAATGTCAAAGCACAACAAAAAATTATAAAATATTAAACAGCTTAAATCTTGAAATGAGAAAAAAAATAATACTTGCTTAAAGCCTACCTGTGTAATGTGTTCTTAGTAGTGGCCTTGGCCTCTCTGTATTTCCGTGTGGTGAAATGTGGTTCTGTATGCTAGAAACTTGGCTTTGTAGCTTGCCTGATTCATTTGCAATTAATCAAAGGTGTGTATCCTTTTTTTGTTACTGAAGCCTGATGAAATACAACAAGGTGTATTTTTTCCAATTACAGAATCGGATGCATGAAAGCATGAAATTGTTTGACAGTATCTGCAACAATAAATGGTTCACAGACACTTCTATTATTCTCTTCCTGAACAAGAAAGATCTTTTTGAAGAAAAAGTCAAAAGGAGTCCTCTCACTATTTGCTACCCTGAATATGCAGGTATTGGAGGGGGGCACAGATGTTGAGTAATTTTTTATTATCTCATTTTTGTGGCACAAATAGGAGGAGTTCAATAACTCTATCTGATTTAAGTATTTTAGATACCTAAAGATGGGAGTTTGTTTTTATGGTTCACATATAAAATAGCACTAAGTCAGATTCATCTTTTAACCAGGTAAAATAATGGTGACCCACTGATAGCATTTATGTGTTATTGTTGCAACTCATTTCAGCCTAATTTTTTTAGCCCTTTTTTCTCATATCCTCCTATTTTTGTACTTAGATGTAATTTTTTTCACTGGTAGGAATCCCTGGGGATACAGGAGAGTTTATGGGAACGGAGTGTACATACATGTCAGAAGTAGGTGGTTTATTTGGGAAATAGGTAACAAAAGAGGATTATTTCATTTAACAAGTCTTAGCCATTTTATGTATCTTTTTCATTGTAACTTGGGACTATTCCATTGTACAGAAATTAGCATGTTAGAGGTAAAAAGCTTATGAGAAGTATGTAGCCAAATGTTAGTTGAGTTTGGGAAAAACCCAAACATTTTAAAAACATAAATATTCAAAGTGGGTAACTCAAAAGAAACAAGATACCTTAATCTAGGGAATAGGTAGGGTCATTCATTGCTTGTTCTGTCTTTCACTTTAGTAAATAAAGACTCTTCCTGCAGCTGGAATTGAGTCTTTAGTTTTGATTCCTAAAAATGTGTCCAAAAGGTATCCTTCAAGGGTTATTTATGGTGTCTTAAAGCAATCACTGTGGAATTACTCTTCTTCAGGTTTAGGTTAACTATTTCCAAGGAACCACTTCCTTCAAAGATACAGTTCAAGTTCTTTCTCAGTTTTAAAATCTGCTTACTGAGCAATTTTCTCCTTCTAGGATCAAACACTTATGAAGAAGCAGCTGCTTATATTCAATGTCAGTTTGAAGATCTGAACAAGAGAAAAGACACAAAGGAAATCTACACTCACTTCACATGTGCCACAGACACAAAAAATGTGCAGTTTGTTTTTGATGCTGTAACTGATGTCATTATTAAAAATAACCTTAAAGACTGTGGCCTATTCTGAGAACAGACAAAAGGTTGTTGAATGGTAAATTACAAACAGGACTTAGGCAGTTGGAATATGCCCATGCTGTGTAAACTGTGCGTAGATAGACTTAATTCTCTTCTATTTCTAGGTTTGGAGAACGACTTCGCACAATTCTAATCTGATTCTTTTCAAGGTGAAAGAAGTACAAACCACATTGTGCTGAATGATAGATCAGTACTGTACTTGCCTGTTTTAACAGCTTTATTTATGTTTGTCTTGTAAATTTAAGTAATTAGGTAACACTGAGATGTCAGTTGATTGTATGTAAACTTAAAATTGTAGTAATGTATTTGTATAAACGTTGAATGGAATATTTTAGTAACTTGATGTCCTCTAATATTTCCATGTTTTATGAAGATACTCTTAGAGGAGACAGACACTTTTTGCCTTTGGATTATTTAAACATCTTGTAAAATTAAATTTTGTTTTCATCTTAAGGATGCATGCTGCCTTATTCTTTACTTTCCTTAGTAATACTGTATATGGTGTTAGTTTTTTTGATATTTAAACAGACTCATATACCTGCTCAGACCTAAAGAAACAAAACCAATAAAACTTGTTTTTTGCCTTAAGTTTTGAAACAAAAATTTTTATAAATGTAAGAGAAATGCAAAGATTTTTTTAAAATTTAAATTAAATCCACAGTTAATGAATTCTGGGCTTGCAGTCTTTGCAGTGCACATGTGGCAACATAAAAACTGAATTTTAAGGTTCAACTATCATTGAAGCTGATAGAAATGCAAGAAGGAAGTTGTTAAAACCATTCATAAAAGTAAAGTTTGAAACTGTGGCCTTTACTCAGTGGAGTGAATGGCAGAGTTACCTTTGAGGTTTTTTTTATAGGCCGTTCAGAAAGGCTGGACTTCAGAGTAATATTTTTTTCTGCTTACTTAAGAACTGAAATCATCTTCTCCTGAAACTTTTTGCTATTTTCTGGTAATAAAACTGGTTTAATAATTTAATAACTGTAGAAATATCAGGTTCTCCCACAAGACATAGCACAGTGGCTTCACAGATTAAAGCAATTTCCTGTTGCATATAAAAAGTATCTGACGTATTTTGGATAGGGTGTTTTAGTGACTCGCAAATACTGATTCTTTAACATCCTCTTTAATTATAATTTAAGTTTCACAGTTTCTTTAAATAATAAGTTGAAAATATTATTTTCTTCTGGTTATACTTACATTATGTGATTTGCTACCTTAGGTACATATCATCCATTGCCTTATGGGTAGTGCCAAAACTGGTTTTTTTTATACAGACTTTAATAAGAATAAGCTTCTATTTGTAAATAAGTTCATGGATGGTTGTCTGTCATCTAGAAAATACAAACATACCAGACTTGGAAATACAATTTTCTATAATTGTTAAAATATTTCAGGCAGCTACAGTACACCGTAAGTTCTTTGAGAAGTGAATAAGTCTTTGATCCTGTTGCTATTTTTCTATATTATCTTAGCATTTATGTTCTTAGAAATGTTAAACCACAATATATTGTCATTGTTCTGTTATTTAATTTTTGATTGTGTATGTGTTTAATTTAGACCTTGGATAGCTTGAGTAGAGCTTACTTGCCCTTCTCATTTTTTAATACTTCCTTTGTTAGGTACAGATTTGCTAAATGCATTTCAGATGAAAGATTAGAAAGGAGATAACTTATTACTGGAGGTTGTTAAATATGTTCATACATTATGAGTTCTTTCAGCATTTATGGTAAGCAATCTGTATATCCTGGACTGCTTTTAATTGTGCTTTATGGTTCTGGATACATAACTGGTTTTGAAACTCATTGAACTACTTTGTGGAAATTGTATTTTCACCTGCATTCAAGTTGTTTTTTGTACTTAATGTAAAACAAAAATTGGGATTAATCAGATTACATAAATAAATCTAAATTTTGTGCCTTGCTTGAAAGAAATGTTTTTCATTAAATGTGCTGATGGAAATCTTTTTGCATCCATCCAGTTTAGATAACTAGGTAGTAAGAATAAGAAGATAGAAAGTCAATAGAGAATTCAAAAACCTTACGCAAGAAGCAGTAAAATGAAGATTAGCATAAAGTGGTAATTATTGATTAATTCCTAAATATTTTTCCTTTACTATATTGTTTCTAATGCCTTCAATGGAAGAACTTTGGAAATGTTATAACTGGTGTTTTGTGAAGTATTTACATCTTAACTTAGAAGAAAATAATGAAATATTTTTCCTTGCTAGTCCAAGCTGATAAACTTGTCTTTTCTGACTTGGTGAGTAGACAGTAGGTATGTTTCCTTATAGATGCTTTGTACTGGTTGATCAATTTTTGTCTTGAGATAAAAGCTGTCAGCCCGGGCCACTGCTCTAGGACAAGCTACCAGATGATTTACATGCAGTAGTGGAAACCACACACATAGTAGTCACTGCATTTGTAATAAAGTTCCTCCATGCTCTTCCACTTCTTTGTTACTCATATTTCTTCATGCAGAGTATCCAGGCAAACTGCTTTTTCTAGCCTAGCACAAGGAAGCTCCCTCTACTATCTTACCTATTCTTTCAGATTATTTTAAATACTCTAAATTAGGTGTATGTAGGGAATTTACAGAGACTTCTCCAGCCCCTGTGGTCTTGTGATCATACTGTCTGTCATTGAAGTCTCTCAGCACAATACAAGCATGATTGAACATGTTATTTTTAAGTGGCTTAACTGTATAAGTGTGGTTTGGAAAAATTTGTGTTTGTCTTCATGATACTTATCTGTTGGATTTGCAGGAAGTTTGATGTTAAATATAGTAACTTCTTAGTAACTAAAATAGGGTCCTGTATCATAGCATGGGGACAGAGTAGCATTTGCTGGATTGCAGTTTCTGTTTCCATGTATGCAATTAGCAGCTTCATTATTTAAATTGTACATAAAACCTTGGGGAGCAAAAGAGATCAATCTGCAGCATTCTGAACAGCATGATGGCTCAAATGTGTTTAGAACTGGGAAAAATGAAAAGTTTCTGTTTTAAATCAAGCAAAAAGGAAACCCTACCAAGATACTGCCTATCCTATTGTGTGGTTGTGTCTTGAAGTTGTTATACTTCTTATTAATATAAGTAATATTCTGTGGGTCACAAACTAATGCTAGGGTTGTAAACGTCAAATCCTTGACTTTTTCATTTTTAAAAAAGTGTAGAAGTTGCAACAAAAGGCTAAAACCAGCTTATCCTAGACTAATTCATAGCCTGTGAGATAATGTACTCACAGGCTGTGGAATGTGTATGTAAAAATGGTTGTATTATAAATGCATTTATCAAGCTTTTTATCCACAGCATATTTTGGGACTGTGTTTTTCAAGTTGGTCATGGTTCCAGACAAGGTATTTCTGGTTGGTTTGCTCTGCTCTGCACATGGTTTCTTTTTTGTGGTGGTTGGGAGGCTTTATGATTGTTATCTGACACAGCAGAGATAAGAGTTATCAAGCAGTTTTATTTTAGTAATAATTTGCTTGGACTAAAGCATCGTTCAGGTTATTGTGCAGTCAATGGGCTGAGAACCATATGGGACAATGTAATTCTATGCCATATACTCCCTTCTGGATTTTAGGAAGGGAAAGAACTGAGCTCATGCTGTAGTGCAGTGCTTCAATTCTGAAAGGAATTTCAGAGCAGCTTTTACAGAAGGTATGTATGTATGCAAGGATGTACTTAGTGGAATGTGTTATCTGAAATTTGGTTCTATTTTTTAAAGTGTAATGGAGCAAAAGATGTTTAAGACCAAATCTGTTGTCAGCAGAAGTCACTGCAGTTTCCCAGAACTAGTTGCTCTAATTTCTTAATTCTCCCTCTTTTTCTGTCTTTCCACTAATACAGAAGCTTGGGAGAAGGTGGTGTCACTGTGCTTTCCCAGTCACAGGTTGTGCTATTGTGTAGACATACCTTGAATACTACAGAATGTGCTCATCTTTAATCTCTTTTGCAGATAAGGAAGAGATCTCCATATTTAATGTAAGATTTTTAATTATTATGATAATGTAACAATATGCAAGCTGATTCAAGAATAAATAACTGTAAAACTGCATCTGTTTATATTGAAAAGCATGAAGAAAAGTCTGGGAAAGCAGGAACTTGAGCAGGTGCAGATTTTCAGTTATGTAGCTTGTAGTTTCAGAGTGATAATAGTTTGACCAGAAGTCTTTGCAGTATGACCCATATTTCAGTTATCTCTTACAAATAAGTGTCCTCATTTCTGCAAAATCCAAATGCACTTTTGAGACCACAGTACAAATAGCTGAGTGGAAGAGACATTTAAAATAGATAAAAAGATACTTGCAGAAGAGTTTGGCTATTTGTCAAAGGAAAGTAACAGCTATCTAACTAAAATACATGAATAATCCATCAGTTTTGCATACAAGCTCAGTGGTGTAACATTTTACTTCTGGAACCATAATGTCTGACTCTGAAAAAATACGCTGGTGTATAGTCACAAATTTTTTACTTTTTTGTTCTTGTATGATGATTCTCTTACAATGTGATACAAAACTCCACAGAATCTATTATAAAAATCCTGTGAAACTAAGTCATCCTTTTATATAGTTTTGATTTTAAAAGGCTAGTACTTGTCCGGTATGCCAAGATTTTTTTGGCAGATAAAACAAAGATGCAGCTATTACGGTTTTGATTTAATAAATCACAAACTTAAAATACTTTGTCTAACTTTGAGTGAGATCTTTGTTATTAAAAGAAAGATCATTTTCCACTGAGAACAGTGTTAACTTTCACTTGGTGTAAATTGCCAGAGCTTGTATTTTTTTAATATGAGTCATTGGTAGATTTATTAAAATATACAAACCCCAGAATTTATCAGCTGCATGATTTTGAATATAAAACTAAACACCAACAACGAGAAAAAGCATATCCAAATTATGTTTGGTGGTTTTAGTGTAGCAAACATATTTGAACATGTGTTCTTGTTCTGTGTATTATGTCTTTAGACAGCAAGGAAAAGTTAATCTTTCTAATATTTTTAATCTTTAACAAAAATATGGTTTTAATCCTTCATACTTCTGGAAATGTTATTGTAAAAAAGAGTCTAATTCTGCACATGGAGATTTGAGTACGTTTAATACAATTCTGAAGTTGTTACTTATAGTTTCTGTCAATATCTTTCATACTAAGTTACATTGGTTTGTCTTAAATGTTGTTAGTTTGCCGTGTTTTACTACTTATTTCTTTATAACATTATCAGTCTTTGGCATTCTGACTCTGTTCAAGGAATGGAAGAAAGCCAGAAATTACAGCATCTGCTGAGACAAAAAACTTTTTCAAGATGTTTGTAGTCAGTCA